GTGTGGGGGGGTGTGAGGCAGAGGATCAGGTTTGCAGCAGGAAGCACTGTGCTGGCACGATGCAGGCCCGGTGCGGAGGGGTTCAATGCTTGTCTCTCACCAGCCACGCCATCCCAGCACAGCCGGGGTTAGGCAGGGAGCAGGGCCACCCTGCCCCTAGCAAGGTGGTTCCTACCCACGGGCTCTGTTCAGTGGGCGCTCCCATAAAGCCGAGCAATTACAGTGCAGCACCTTTACTGCCCACTCAGCCCCAGCTCCCAGAGGGTAGCAATTTCTGCCTCCAGCAGGGGCAACCTGCTGTTGGTCGTGTCTTGTCTTGGCTCTTGGAGATTCAGCATCTTCTGACTGCCTCTGCATTTCACTCACCTCTGAGCTGGGGGAGTTGTCACATGCTCTCTTGTGTTAGCAGGTCTCCAGTCTTCCCTAAGGCAGCCCCTGGGCTTTCCATAAAAACAGCCACTGCAGTGTGTTGCCTGATCTCTGTCTGTTCAACTAACTTATTTTGTGAAATTTCTATGTATTTTCTCGCAAAAAAACACTATGGGAAAGAACATCTCCCAGCAGCTGCCTGAAACAAGCCCATGTTCGAGCATATCTGAATGTTTTTGCTCCATCACGGGATGCTGCTTTACTGGTTTATTGCTCAGATGGCTTTGTGACTGTCCAGAGGTTTCACAGTTAAATCCTGGCCTTGCCTGACAGTGACTGTGGACCCCAGCAGGAGCTGAGATGGCCACTGCACCAAAAGAGACAGAAAATGCTATCGGCTTGGAAGAAATACACACAGAGAGACAAGAACCCCCAAAAGGTGGGTTTGTGTTGTCAGGACTAGAAATTTGGGTCCTCATTTAGCCAGAGAAGAGGGATAGTCCCCAGGATTGTCAATCCAGCTGCCCAAAACCTCTATCCATGGAGCCACAACGATCAGCTTCATACTGATTCTCTCCCACCACAGCTACTAGAGTAGTGACTGCTACCTACAATGGCAGTCGATGGCTGGCTTGGTTTTTCTTAGGCCTCCACTTTTGTAAACATTTTATTATACCTGTAATTCAAGGATTCTTCCATTGTGGATGTTTTAATTTTTTTTTTTTTTTTAATATTCAATTTCAAAAGCATTTTAAAGTGAAAGAAAACGTAGAAAAAGGTAAAACAAAAAGTTCTGCATCTGAAAGAAAAAAATTATCCTCAAATTTTGCAGTAAATTCTGTTCCATTTCAGAGGAAATGTTGATGGGTTTGAGATAACTTAGTGGGGAGATAAATGGCCTGACAGAAAAATTTATGCAGCTCTGACTTTACCTAAATAAGAGCTTAAAAGTATATTACAAGTATACATATACTGAAAGCTTTCTGCCAGGTCTGTTTATAAAGCCATCCTGGCCCTTATCTTGAGATGCCTTCCTTGCTCCTGAAAAGGGCGAAAAAGTCAGGAATAAAGGCTTAGGAGATGAAACTGAGCCCCGAGTCCCTGGCTGTGCTTGTCCTGCGGGGCTCAGACCTGGAGCAGCCCCCAGCTCACATTGCCCATGCTGAGAGCAGGCCTGGGGGTGCCTCACAGCAGTTTGGGCAGGGGAAGAGAGTAGACTATTGCCCAGACACAGTCCCAACCATGGGTTTCTGAAGCAGCTGGGGTAACTCAGTAAAAGGCTGTCCTTCCTCCATGTTCAACCTGCCCTCTGCCCCACTGGCTGCTGTTTCAGCAAACCCTTTACGTGCCCGGCCACCAGCGTGCCCAGGGGGGCTGGTCAGTGGACACACAACTGGTAGATGTTTCCAGCCTTTTTTCCTGGTGAGTCCCCACAGTAGCATGAAAACCACTGACATTTCATAAGGAGGAGGTACAATTTGACCGCTGATGTGTTTTTTGTTTCTGTTTTCCTTCCATTTGTTGTTCAGGGCTGAAGACATTTACAGTGGAAGAAGCTGTGGAAGCCATTGGGTTTGGGAGGTTCCACATCATGCTGTTCCTCATTATGGGCAGCACTGGGGTAGGTGTCTGCAGCCATCTGAAAAATGGCCTGAATCAATTGGCCATGGCCTGAAAAAAAGCTCCTCTCATTTTCCTTATTACTGTGCAATAACAACCATAAGCACCATGGGCATATATTCCAGCCCATTTTTTTTCACTCATACCTTCTCAAGCACAGTTTCTGCTGTTGTCATCTTTGGCCAAAATCAATATTGGCTACAACTGATATCAGGCCTATTTCAGGGCACAGCCAAGCAGGTTGTCCCAGAGCATCCTGGCCTGGCCCCTGCCCTGGAGCACCATCCCACCAGGCAGCACTGACAGCTCACATCTTCTATACTGCCTGAGGGTTAGTTCAGCCTCCCGACTGCATTTTTCATGCCATCCCCAGGGAATACAAAGCCTGTGCAATCTGGCACGGGAGGGCTACCCTCCTCTCACCCTTGGCTATATAAAACTTCCTAACTGGCCAGATCTTGTGTTAATGGTGTATCTGGTTTGGGAACTGGGGCAAAAGCCTGAGGGCAGGCTGGGGTAAAGATGAGATGGGGACATATCCTTGAGGATCACTGCAGCTGTTTATACACCTCTATGTGTAAACAATAGGCTCATTTCTTAACTGAAGCCAGCTGCTGGGGCAAACAGCCAATGGAGCAATGAAATTTTTAATCATAAACAGTTTTAAGATGTTGTCTTTGTGTTAGATGTCCAAAATCACAGCAGGGTACCTAACCAAGCAGCTTGGTTTCCAGAGATAGTTGAAGACCTTCCACTAGCACAGCTGGTTAAGAGTGTCCTCTACAAAGGATGAGTCTTTCCAGCCTTCCTAGATACACAATGTACTTAGATACCTGCTTTCTAGGTGCACCTTTCTCCCCTCCTCCCCCTGTTTCCAAGTGTCCACATCTTCCAGATCATGCACAGGGCTCAGACCACTCTGGAGGTGCCATGGCTTCACAGGGCTGTTTTGACATGGTGGGACTGTCATGGCTGCAGGCTTGGTAGGACTGAGGGATTTTCCCCAGTGGGTTTCTTGTGGCTTTCCTTCTTGCTAATGTGCACACTCATTCCCAAAGGTGACTGAAGCCATGGAGATCATGCTAATAGCCGTTGTGTCCCCTCTCATCCGATGCGAGTGGCAGCTTCAAGATTGGCAGGTGGCTTTAGTGACAACGGTGAGTGACTTGTGTTGCCCTCACACAGGTCATCCACCATGTGGTCATTGTCAGGGGCACTGCCCCAGGCTTTGTAAAGTACATTTTCCAGTGGACCAGATAAACTCCTAGGGAATCATCTGAGGGGCAAAACCAGTACCACAACTGTAGAAAACCAGAAAGTGAGCTGACATGAGCACATGTCCATGCCCAGAGCTGTAATGCCAAATCAAGGCTGTACTTTATATTCTTATTTTTAAGTCCTTGCCTTCAAGCCCTGAGTTTTGAGGGTTGAAGCAGTGAGTGCCTACATGGAGGAAGTGAGCCCGTGAAAGCCATCTCGCTCATGGTTCTGGGCACTGCCATTCATCCTGCTGCTCAGAAAGTGCTCAGCTAACCCAGAGTTTCAAGAGCAGAGATGCCCAGTGCTGCCGGGAGTGGGCCCTCCACAGCTGTGTTTCAATTCCCCTTAGATGGTGTTTTTTGGCTACATGGTCTTCAGCATAGTGCTCGGGCTCCTGGCTGACAGGTACGGCCGCTGGAAGGTGAGTGAGCGCTGGGGGCTGTGCGTCCTTTTCCTGAGCCCCACAGGAGCCATGCACCTGGTTGAGCCTGTGGTTTGATGACTGTATTTTTTCCCCTTTTGCAGATTCTGCTGCTCTCGTTCCTCTGGGCAGCCTATTTCTCCCTGCTGACCTCGTTTGCCCCATCCTACATCTGGTTCGTGTTCCTGCGGGCCATGGTAGGAGGTGGCGTGTCGGGCCATGCACAAGGGTAAGGCTGTGCCTCATGCCTCGTGGCTTGGGCAGTGACAAGCCAGCTTTCACAGGGACATCAGCAAAGGCACCCACGGACCCAAGGGGGTTGAGTTCCTGGGTTTACAGTGAGAAAAACCCTTCAAGACATTTTGGCTGACCTTGTGGAGTGCCTGGTTTCCCCTGCACTGAGCCTGATAAGCCATGGCTGTGCTGTGACCTGGAGGAGACGGCGGGGAAGGGGCCTCTGCAGGGGCTGGAAATGGAAAGGAGAGCAAATTCCCACATCGCCTTAAAACCAAATGCTGTTCTGTAATTTCTCTGGATCCCAGTCGATGCACATAAATTGCAGTCTCAGGGACTCCCAAGTCCAGGAATAGAGGGGGCAGCTGGTTTGTGTAAAGCCAGTGACAGGGATTATTAAGCACATATATTATAAAAACAATTAGACAGGTAACAGATGAGCAGAGGCTACTTCCTCCTAAAAAAGTCACAACAATTCTGCTTAAGTAGCAAATTCTTGAACTGATGTAAAAAGTTCCCATTTTTTACTCTGTTGGGGTGGAAAGGGGAATGTGAAGGAAGAGAGGAGAAAGTCACAATAGTAACAACCACTTCACTAGGAGCCTGGCAAAATAAATTATTTCTTTCAACTCTCTCAGGAAAACAAATACAACATTTCAGCATCTTCTCTGGTTCCTTGAAGTCTGTTTGCTGTCCATGCAGGAAAGCCCAAAACTGGTCCTGTTGACCCAAGAGCCCTTTGCCTAAGTGAAGGACAGGAGGGAGATAGGTGCTTTTGGGAGGAGAAGGCACCCTGCGCCTGGGCTGTGCATCCACCGAGCTCCTGGCACTGCCTCCCTCACAGGAGGGCTCCTGATCTCTGGCCATGGAGGCTGCTAATGAGCCTGAGGATGAAGGGAAATTTCATGTTTTATAAAACACTTCAATAGCTGAGACAGAAGGAGCCAAATGGGTCTCTCTCCACCCCTCTCTCTTTCCAGCCAAGGAAGCACAATTCACACCTGTGAGCTTGAGAGTTGCCAGTGCCAGACCCTCCCTTTGATAAAAAGTGGAACAGACCGTTTTCTTTATTTAATGAAAAAAAATTATTCACTAAAGATTGTTCATTTCTACGAACATACTCTGTGCCTCTGCTGACTTCTCAGTCACCCCACAGGACCTTCCCATAGGTTTCCTGATGCACAGACTGCAATGTTTACCCGCCTGTATCCTACAGCCATGGCCTGGAGAGGATTCATGCCCCTGCATGTAATTTGGTGCCTGTCCAAGTGGAAGGCATATTGAGTAGGGATCCCCTGTCTCTGGGTGCTCAGTGGTGGGAGAAGGATGGTACTCTGACTACCTACAAGCAGCAACATCCAGCAGTGACTTAGCTGAGCTGAACTCTACTTGATTAGTATAGAAATTCTTATTGCTGATGTATTTCTGTATTTTTTCCCCTTTTTCACTAGGCTTATCATAAAAACAGAATTTTTGCCCATCAAATACCGAGGATACATGCTGCCCTTATCTCAGGTAAGAATAATCACTTTACTGTTTCTTCTAGCCCTGAGTCCTGGGAGATTTGCCCTGCTGCTGGAAGCCGGGTGTCCAGCATGTCAGCCTTTCTCCCAGAGTATTCACATTTATCTTGGTCCAAGTGAGTGCCTGCTGCCTCCTGTGCCCTGGAGTGTGCTGTCTGTGTTATTAAAGATGTACACAGACAGCTGCCTGCAGAAGAGAGGCAATTTCTTCTCAAATAATTGGATGCCCCAAACATTGCATGGGGACATGAGTGATGACAGCCAGCATCTCAGTTGCCCTATCTATAACCATGCTGCCTGCTCTAATGGGACCAGTGCCAAGGGGCTTTCTGGCAAGCTCTGCGGCTGGTGGCACCACTGGCCCCTTTCAGGCCTGGGCTCATCCTTCCTCTCTTTTGACTTGTTTAATAACAGTTTATTAATAAGGTGATTCTCAGATGAGGTCCTAATCTGTGCCTCTCCCTGTCCCTGCTTAGGTATGGCACAGGATAGGACTAGCATAGATAGTCCCAAATTAGCCCTGGGATGTGCTGGGAGAGTTGTGGCCACTCGCTGGGCAAAGACCACAGCAAGCATGACTGGGGTTGTTGCTTACTCTAGATTTCTGCAGTGGGCACTTGCTGCATGTGCAAATGATCTGCAAGAGGTGTCATTAAGCACATGAATTAATCTGACTGTAGAACCAGAAGTGTTTGTATATGGTCTTGGTGGCAGGGACAATTTGCTTTTCATTACTGCCTGTTTGATCCTAGGGCTTCATTACCAAAGTGTCATAAGAAACACAAAGGTTTATAAAAAAGAACAATCTTGTACTTCTCCCCCAAAATTTGTTATTTCTGCCTGCAGATTACTCATGAACTTGCTGTGGCTTTTATGTATTTGTTTGTGTTTTGTGTTGGCCAAGCTCCCTTGGGTGGTCCCCTGGAAAGGGACACGTCTCCTCATGGTAACAAGTGAACTTTGGGGAGGGGTGTTCTTGCAGATCAGTGGCCAGATTCTCCATTGGTATAACTTGGCATTAGTCCACTGGAGACCAACTAATTTCCAGCAGTGGAAATCTGGCCTGGTTTTGCCTTTGGTGCTTGTAAATTTGCTGCTTCCCTGCAGAAATTTAGACAAGAGGAAAATTCAGGGGCATGAGTGTTAGCAGAGAAATGACTGGAAGGCAAAAGACATGGCTTTAAGTACAATGGTAGCCACAGCAAGTTATCTGTTTTCATCTGGAGCTGATTAAGACTATCTTCAGTCATCCCTCCCAAAATCCTCATCTTTCTTTCCCTCTGTCCTTCAACCCAAGCTCAGTTTCTCAGACAGCTGCAGGATGTCTCGGTTTGAACCACAGCACTCTCCAGAACAGATCCCCACCTATCCATGGAACCAGACCAGAAGAAAAGAAACAAATTGTTGTCATGTATTTGTGTTTTAACCTCTTCATTTTCTTTGGAAAGGTGTTTTGGTTGGCAGGATCCTTGTTAATCATTGGCCTGGCATCAGTGGTGAACCCAACCATCGGCTGGCGGTGGCTGATCAGAATTGCCTCCATTCCCGGCATCCTTCTCATTCTGGTGTTCAAGGTAGGAGAAGCCCCTCTCCCCACTCTGCTGCACCACCACCATCCTGGCATCTTCCCAGGCACCAACAGGCATCACCCTCCCACCAGCCACGAGGCTGGGGATGTCCTTGTGTCCTACTTTCACCACTGCAGCCCTGTCACCTGGGGGACTTGGGAAGGTTCTGATGGCCTGAGGGTCTGCGGACCAGCTGCTGGGAATACGTAACCTTGTGGGAGATGGCTTGGCTTTGCTTTGCTTTGCTGCCCTGCCCTACCCACCCCAGGCTTCAGTGTCCAGGCTGCCAGTGGTACTTGGGGACCATGGTGATGGAAGACAGGTTACGCAGGGTATGCAAAAAATCACAAGTAGTATCTTCAGTCTAGTGCTGGCCAGAGGGCACCCTCTTTAGTCTTTGGGATTTGCTAGGGCTGAGGAAAGAAGCATGAGCAAAGTGTTCATAGAGCAAATGGGTGTCAGAATTAATGGTGGCTTCCCCAGGTTTACTAATGCTCCAGAAATATCAGTCTCAGACATGAGGACCAACTTACTTGTGGGGAGTGATGTGGAAAATCCCTACTTACAGTGCTCATGGGCACTGTAATGCTAAGCTGTGGCCAGTGCAAGCCGTGCAGATGTGAAAGCCCTTCCTGCAGCTGAATGAATGAACAAGTCCATCTGAGGTGCTACCTGGGCAGTCAAATGCAAGGTCATTTTGGCCATCCACTTGTATAACTCTGATGTTTGTTTTCCCTGATTATTTTTGTCAGAAAAAAAAAAGGATAACAAAAGGTTTTAGTCCAGAAGAACAAAAGACACAGTCAGCATACATACCTTTAAAAAAGGAGGAGTCTTTAATTCGTATTTCAGTGATACAGCTGTAATTGTTTATAATTTAGGAGAGCTATCATTTAATAAAAAGGTATTTTATTTTGGAAAGAGCACGAGTGGGGTCACACTCGTGGGTGGACATTGCAAATGCTAGTGAAGAGTGAGTTTGCTCCTAAATTTCATCCATGTCTTCCTTTTTTTTTTTTTTTTAATGGTCTTGCTGAGGCCTCCAAGACTTCTACTTAAGAGACATGTACCTCATCCCATTTTAGAATTTCAGTTAAGGGTTATTTTTGTTAAACCTGTGTCTTTGGCTTCCACCTCTCATGAGTGCTTGCCACAGACAGCTCAGTAGCAGACCACTGGGTCCTGGACAAAGAAATGGATTTGTTGGGAAGGGTGAGCCCCTCAACATGGGGTATGGAGAGCTGGGGCATGTAGGGGTGCCCCAGGGCATGGTTGAGGAGGAGGACAGGCAAAAGGCTGCTCCAGTTCACCAGTGCTCTGTGCTAACTCGGCTGCGCTGCTGGTCTCAATGGGAAGTTGTGAGTAGGGTTGCATGGACAGAGACGTGCAGAAAGGCTTTCTGATGCTGCTCTGCTTTCAGTTCATCCCAGAGTCAGCACGGTACAACATGTCCACAGGAAACATAGCGGCTGCGCTGGCCACGCTGCAGAGGATAGCCAAAATCAATGGGGCGGTGATGCCTGAGGGGGTGCTGAGGGAGCCCGCCAAGGTAAGCCAAGCCCGTGGTGCTGCCCAGCCCCTCCACCCCGGCAGGGCTGCAGTATCTCGGGTTCAGGGAGGGAGAAGGACTGCCAAGCACGTCTCACTCTGTCTTTCTTCCCCTCCTCACCTGGTTTCTTTCCAAACAACTATTGAATGTGATGATGAAGATGTTATTTTTCTTTTGGAAAAACAGTAATTTTGGCCCTCAGAATAGAATTGAGTTTTCTGCTTTTTTTTGTATTCTTTGTTTTGCTCAGAAAAATATTGTGCTGAGAAAAGATTTGCTCCCTTTGCCACAAAAATGGCTCCCAGCAAAAGCATGTTCTTCCTTATTGCCCATCCATCCCCCAGGAATGTTCCCTGTACCATGAGACCTGCCCCACAGGGTCCCTCTCAGGGCTGTTGCTGGTCAGACTGGAAGGTCCCTGCCATGAGGTCAACCCACCGCTCCCAGAGGCTTCTCCCAGCCCCTGACTGGCCTTGTCCACTGGGTCCCACCACCCCAGATCCCTCAGTGTGGAGTCACAGACCAGCAGAAGAGGGTCAAAGCAGGAGAGGCCATTTCACAGCTACCACCATTTCCACCTGTAAGCAGCTGAGCACCCCACAACTCAGGAGTTGATCACTGCTGGATCAAAAGGCCCCAAAACATGTGTGAGTGTTGTGGATGGGGCAGGAGAGGAGCTGGGGGCCAGGGGCCTCCCAGACTGCTCCCCCTTAACCCCACTGGACCCTGCTGGCTGCGGGGTGGGAGGACTTATTCAGGTGGCTCCTTTGACCCCCAAGAGAGGAAGGTTGAACAAAACCATTGTCCAGGGCCTCAAAATTATTATCCAGCTCTTTTAAGTCTCTTTCCCAGACCCCTTTGTTGCTTATTCCCACAGGCACCAGCCATTGTCCTTAGCAATTAATGCAAGATGGTGCTATTTTATTGGGCTTAATTAAGATTAAAGCTTCCCTGTAGTTTAATTGAATTTATGTAATGGACCCACATTGTCTGTGGAAAGGGTTTTTGTTAGTTGTGCACCCTCTCAGGCTTAACCAGTGGTGAGGAAAATAAAGGCAATCCAAACTCATCTCCCCTTGGTGGTGGGATGCTGGGGTAGCTGCTGGCTCTTGGGGAGCAGCCGGGCAGGCAGGGCCCCCCGGTGCCTGCTTGTCTCTTGGCTCACTGGTGTTTGAGGCCTCCCAGCAAGATGCATGTGGCCACAAACTCGCTTCACAGGCAGAGCAGCAGACACTGGGCCCCTTCCCTGCCACATGGGGCAACAGGAGCTGCCAGCAGCACCGTCAGTGCTGATCCTCAGCAGCAACCAAGTCCCCCTTTGGCACCATGATGGTCATGCTGGGGCCAGACTCCCAGGAGCTGGGAATGTTCTGTGGGGGCCAGGAGTGCTCATGGTGTTCTTGTCTCCTCCCCTCCATCTTTTGAAGCACGTTCTCCTTTGGGAAGAGGGGCTTTTCTTTCTAGAGGACTGTTTGGGTGCTGTGCTGCACCATCTGTCAGCTTGGGGTAAGGGCAGGGGGCCCTGGGGTGCCAGGGGCTGCCACATAACACTTGCCCATGTATAAAAGACACCTTTTAAAAAACTATTTCTATCAATGATTTGCAGGAAAGGAGAGGCAGGTTCAAGGACCTTATACACCCCAAATACCTCAGAACCACTTTGCAGATATGGATCATATGGTAAAAAAATATTTTTTTTTTTTTCTCTTGCTTATCAGCTCATTCTCTCAGTGTGCAGGGAACAGAAGTCTCCTGTTGACTTTGCCATTACAAGGCATCACTTCTGCCTCAGGCTGTGGCTGCAGATCCTTGGCAGCTGGAGGGGCAGTATGTGGGCATGAGTTACTGTAGGCTCGTGCTGATCTCAGACTGTGCCTCAGACACCCTGTGTTGGTTGGTGTTAACATAAGCAGAAAAAGACTGGACATCCAGGATGGTGCAGGGTGCCATGAGTCCTTCCTCAGGCCAGGGTGGCTCAGAGGAGGTGGGGTGGGAGCCAGGCACGAGCTGCAGCAGAAGCCCACACCTGCCCACTGGTGCACCGGCAATGTGCCTGCGGCTCCACTTCCCTTCTCGGTGTAATTTTTTTCTTCCTGAGAGTGGGACAAAAGCACCACCTTTGCAGGCCAGCCAATGTAAGAGGAGTGAACTAGGGTGACAACAGAAACTCATTAATAGTTACCCGTGCCACTGGCCAGGGAAAATTAAGCCTGAAGAGAGACAGTTTTCACATGCAGTGTTCCCAGTAGCTTTATGCAAGGGTAATATACGTTTCATTGACTTTGCTGTCTGGAATAGAAATGTATAAATAATGGGTCCATGGGAACTCATTGACCTGAAATGTTGCTAAGTCAGGCCTTGAATTTTTTTATGTTTTTTGTTTTCCCCCTCAATTTGTATGAGTGTTATGAAATATAGTTGTTTTTGTTTTTTAATCCTTCTTTATTTCCTATTTGTCCCAGGAGTCGCTGTTGTATTCTTGGGTTTGCATCCCTCCCCCCCCCC